TGCGGCTGACGTGGCGCAAGGCGGCCGGGGCGGTGCAGGAGGGGGCGGGCGGTCCGGAGGGGAGAGCCGAGGACGGGCCGCCCCTCCTCCTTCCCGAGTGCCCCTTTCCCCCAATCCGTGGGCTGGGGGAGGGGAAGGGAGGTCGTCGCCCTTTGGGGTTGCTGGGATCCTAGAGGCCACTGCACGGTCCTGCCCGACCCCTGCCTTAAACTTGCTGCGCCGGCGGCCTGCCAGAGCGGCTGGCACCAGGTGGGCCACGTGCGGCGGCCGCTGGCACCCGGCGTCCAGCCGCGGACACTTGAGGGATTCCGATCACTAGCTGTAGGGGGCACATCCTCTGCTTGAAGATTTAATTGAAAAATAGGAACTCGTAAAGTTGTGATATCCCCCTTGGTGTGTTCCTGAGAGGAGAAGGTGTGGCCCAGGCAGAAGAGTGTTCCCGTGCTACCCCGAGAAGCTAGAGCAGTGCGAATTCTGGGGACCCTTCCGCAGCGCGGAGTGGATAGGAAGCTGTGCCCTGGGTGATAGGAACCCCTGCTCCTCATCTCAGAGCTGTCCTCTGGCACCTCCTCCCCTCCGCTCTCTCGGGGCTGGCTTGTCTGGAAAGCGAGATGGCAAATGGTACCACGTCAAACAGACGGTACCGCCTGCCATGGTTCTGGGGCGGGGGGGCTTTGGTATGGGACTCCTGTCCAACCCCTAAGACTCTTATCCGGAGAATTGACCTAGCGAAGGACTTCGTGTCATTCATACAAGCACAGGTAGTGCTTTCCTCGCAGGGCCTAGATGCCCCAATAAAGGGAAGTTCTCTTGGGACAGAGCAGAAAGCTAGTGTTAAGGCAACAAGGCAGTTTGCAGGCTTATTTGCAGAATTTGACGTCCTTCTGTAGTGCGGGGGAGAGGTTCCTTGAGATGTGGGAAAGAGATGTGGGAAGTTGAAAGATGCCTAAGAGAAACAGCCTATTCAGAAAATGTGCTGGCGGAAGTTGGAGGAAACTTTTCTTTTTCTCTCCATGTTCAGGCTATTACTGTATTTCATTTCCTTTGGAGTTAAATCAACTTTGTGGGGCCGGTCTGAGTCACAGCTATCGTTGTGCTTTAAGTTCTCAAGAACGAACTGACTTGGATTTTTAGAACTACCAGTGGTATAGAAAATACTTTGTAGAGTAAAATATTCAATATTAATAGTTACTCTGGAAAGGAGTATTCTCAGAGTAACTAATCCAGTTAAGTACACTACGCAATTGGAGTCTATTCCAGTGGAATAAATCTTTCTTTTTTATTTTTTAAAGAAAAACTGACACGTAGACATAATGAGTCCATGCAGTGCCAATGGAGTTTTAATTTTAGAGTCTCTGTGTTATTTAGCAGCTAGTCCTTGACTGAGTGACGGGGAAAAACTGGCAAATTTGAGCCCTTGGTATGAAGTAAATGTGGCTTATGGACTTGTAAGTGGATTCTCCAAAAAATAAAAGTAACTTGTAAAGTTTTTATTTGTTTGCTTATGAATAGTCTGTTACAAAATATTTAAACAGAGACCTCTGGGTTTCTGTGATGGCATTTGAAAGAAAGTTTAACAGTTGATTGGGACTCAAAATATACTGCGGACTGCCCCCATCTCGCATCTCTTTCCAGTTTCAATCTTTGTGGCATATTGGAAGCCCACATATATGATAAGGGGCCAAGGGTACCATGTAATGAGAACACTGATCTGTGTATTTTTGCTCTGAACTTGGCAGATGTAGGGTTGTCCTGCTCCTGTAGATTTTGTTCCAGCCTCTTCTTTATGGCCAGTATGCAGGTCACCCTGAACTTGATGGTAACAATGAGGTCAGATTGGGGCTGCCTCCTTGGGAGGACTAGGTAGATTTGCCCTATTACATGGCCATAGGCTGCCTTCTGAACATAGTCGCTGTCTCAGAAGCTTGCGCTGTAGCCACAAGAGTCCCAAACCAGAAGTACCAACTGCATGACACTTATGGATCTGTCACTGAGAAATTGCCAAACAGTATTTGCCAAGCATGTGCTGGATACTGAGAAAGTTATAAAAAGGACAGTGCTGTCTTCTCAGCCCTTGTACCAAATATACTTAAATATAACACTGGTTTTCTTTCATAATTATCTTCTAAAGAAGAGGGTATCATATTGTGTTTGAGTCTCTTAAAAAGCAAGGATTCTCTTAGCTGGCCAAGAAAATATTCTTAGGGAAGACACATTTGCTTGAAGCATACTTTTTCAGTGCTATCTTTAGATGGTTTTTATCGAGGTCATCTGTCAGAAAAGAGGCAAAGAGATTTTATTGAGGCATTATTTCGAGGATGAACTCACAATTTTAAGTTTAGGGTGTTCTTATAGGCAAGCCTGTTAAAGGCCACTTTATAAAAGCAATACAGCAAGTAGTTACATTGTAGACATGAATACACACTTAGCAGCTGAAAGAGAAAAACAAAAACAAACCCATGCCCCCTAATGATATGTGACTGTACTTGAAGTTCGAAATAAAGTTTCCAGTGTAGGCTCATGAAGAATTTAAATATGGCACTGCAGAGAGCTGACAATTAAAGATGATCAGCTCTATGACTCAAAAAGTAGATCTAGTTGATGAGAAAGATGCTCATGCTGTCAGGAAATGTGAAGAGTAGCAAGAAACTATAAGTTAACATTTTAAAGATAGGCGATTAAAAAATATCTGTGTGTAGTTAAGTTCATACAGTAAATATAAGTGTACATTTCATTATATCATATTTAAAAGTTTGAGTTGCCACAGACTTTTTAAACTTCTCATTGGAGAAAAATGCAGAATTTATTTAATTTTGCGATTGCCTTGCATTTGCAGATACTTGGTGATATAGTAGTAGAAGAGGCCTGGCTAATAAAGGAGCAACTATAGCAAGAAGTGCTAAGCTGCTGCAGTAGAGGGGGAGCAAGTTTGCTTTTCCGTAGAGAAGAGAAAGGGCACCAAACAGCCTGGCGAGTCTTGGCTGACTGCTTGGAGGAAGTGACAGTCAAACTAATCCTCAGGGCAAATAGGAATTATCCAGGTAGGCTTCGGGAGGAAACATCAAAGAGAATGTGTACTGATTCCCTAGGCAAGCCAAGCTGTGGTGGCCCTCTTAGAAACTGCAAATATTACAGTGTGGCTCAGGGGTAGACAACAAAGTAAGGAGGGCAGCTGGAGTATGGATATCAAGTGGGAGGTCAGCAGATCTTGTACAGTACTTTGCTAACAGGATTTCATGCTGAGAATAATGCAAGGACTTTATGGAGGGTTATAAGCAGGGAAATGGGGTTCTGTAGTAATTGCAAGCTAATCCATTTCTGCTGTGGTGTAAAGAAAGGATCAGAGAGCTGAAGAGGTGGTCAGGTGCCCCTGACCCAGCACTCACTATGCTCGTTACTTCACCTTATTACAGGTGTGGGCATTGCCAACGTCTGCAGCCTACTTGGAATGACCTGGGAGACAAGTACAACAGCATGGAAGATGCCAAAGTCTACGTGGCTAAAGTGGATTGCACGGCCAACTCAGATGTGTGTTCTGCACAGGGAGTGCGAGGATACCCCACGTAAGTGGGAAGGGCACATGCTTCCAGTATCTTCTGTCTTCCACATCTTTTAGCCAGCTTCATTCAGCAAAAGAAAGTCCAAAAGTACACTTTTGATAACTTCCTTTGTAGTTCCGAGGAGTGAGATGCTAAATTTAAGCAGGTA